AAAAAAGCATTAGGGGGTCTGCAACTTATTTGAAGTAACTGTTTGAAGTTTCACTCACACAGAGAGAAGAATTAAAGTGGAAAGAGCAGCAATTTTCAAATAACTTATCACCTAAGGAACTGAATAAGATAACGTGACACAAATATACAATTTACCTTTATGAAATATCACCAGTCTTCTACTGGCCTTCAGATGGAAAGCACATAGGCGGGTATGCTACTGTACTGTATGTTATTTTCTCTACTTTAAGAATGCCTCGAGATTAAGGCTTTAGCTGCTTGCAGATTTTTTTCATTACCTATAGCTAAGAAAACATTTCAGGTCTATCATATGTTTCTCTGTCAGACAGCCCACCTTTATCTTTAAAGACATTTTTTGAGGCTCAGGGCTGAATTGAAGTCTGCATGGCACCGGAGCTCAGTCTCCTGCCCACATTAGTGCTCTGACAGCAGGGGTGCCATCACATGCTTGAAAGTAAGCAGTTCAGAGACCCCTGATGCTATCCAGCATCATAACTCTGATGGATCTGCTCAGTCGGCTATAGTGTCTTTACACAAGAAAATCCTTGATTTAACTGTTTGACAAATAATTGCAGAAAAATGAAGTGGAGATCTGCCACAGGATTTAGGACTGGAAAACAAAACTGTGTGCAATGCTGCTTATGAACCTAATATGCATACTATGTATTTACACACTGTCAGCAAGTGTAATTTTTCATACATGATCAGCAGTTTTGATTGTACATGCACACTTGGAATAATGCAAACAAGTCCAGATGGCTCTATTGAACAGGTGTGTGGTTAAATGTTGCTTCCTTTACATAAGCAAAACAATGAACTGAAGCACAAAGAAAAAAATAGAATCCTATCAGGGTCATTAAATCATGTTTATATCTCTGAGAAATATAGAAAAAGGGAATTATTTTATTGAATGTGTATTTTTAGGGTCCGGGGTTACGACGAGTCAGGCATTTGATGCCAACTTATTTGCTCTGCTTTGTTGTACTGCAATTGCAGATGAATGAATGCTGTCAAACTGTTTCTTACAAAACAATTGAGATCGAAAGAAAAAAAAAGCCAAAATAAAAGGCAAAATAAAATTAATAAATTAATATAATATAAAGTTATTATTCAATGGCAATTGTATTCATGTATTTATTTATTTAGAATAAAATATAATTAATTGATTTACTGATATTAACAGCAAAAGTATATCATGTTTGGACAGAATTAAATAATAATTATAAAGTTAAAATTAATTATCTAAATTAAAATGAATATATAAAAATAACTATTGTATTTATTTATTTACCTTTACAACAAAAAAAATATGATGTTGTAATTTTTTTTGGAGGACAGAATTTACTAAAACAATCCTGTTGAAAACTTGGAACTAGGTGTTTGAAACTAAAATACAAAACCATTTAATACTGTAGACTTTTGACTCCAGACCTTTTTGCTATTGAGATATAGCCCTTATGACAACTTCTCTGTGCACCAACTAGCTCAGTCTCCACTATATTTAACTCTTGCCGTTGCTCACATCGCCCTCATTTATAACAGTCAATGATATCAGTAAATGGACTGCTCATAGTCCTAGAGAAAGTGATGTATGTCATCATGATCGTCATCACAGTGAAGATTAGACTTCCAATTAAAGTCTGTCTTGCTCTTCTTTTGAGGAAGCAAATGACCTTGACTACCCTGCTCTCCTAGAAAGATTGCTACATGTGTGAATGCTAATAACAGTCTTTGTTATTGATCCAAGCAAATATATGATTCAACAGAACAGAGATGTACAGAGCATGGGGAATACCTCATGTGATCTCTTCTATGCTGATGTACCACCAATTACATATCTTAATGCCAGTAAAGAGCTTGTGGAAAAACATAAATCTTAGCACTCACAGCAGGGAGGAAATGAGGATACATTTCAGGCTTTCTTCCTCAAGGAAGCATTTGTAGCCTTCGGCAACTGAAATTGTGTTTGTTTGGCCTTCTTTTTCATTCTTTTCTTGCTTTTTTGCTTGCTTTTTTATTGTGAATTTACTCTTTTCCTTTTTCTATAAACTCTTATGTGAATTGCAGGCCTGTTTGGTGGACACAATTCCTCCCTGCATGCGTTTGTAGAGCCTGTTTTGCTTAGTTACATTCTTTTGCCGCATTCTTTGTGTTTTAGGTCATGTGTGGAGCTCTTAGTTTAGTCACATTTAACCAAAACCAATCTCGCTGTTCCACGTCATTGCACCAAGGTGACACCAAACTGTCATGCTGCGATGTTCGTATATTCTATTCCCTACCTTTATTTTCCAGGGTTGACATTTATATTTTGCAACCTCCTCTAAAAATTTTGAAAAACATCCTTTGTGTGGGAGTTTTTCAGTGAAAACCTACTTGGCTGTCCGCAGATTGCATGCTTTACTACACAAAGACTACGACCTCATCATAACGTGTTTTAGAAATAGCAGGCAATCACTATTTACTTTCTGCCTGACCAGATTTATTATATTTCAGAGTGACTCGTGATCACCCTGTATCTACTGGTTTGGCTGCCGTCACAATGGATATTGGAAAGACCAATATCTGACCCATGCAATTACAATTTTATTGGGTTCACAGATATTGCCTAGAGGACCAAAATCTCAGCTGAAGGATACATACAGTGATTCACACTAATGGATGCATGTGATTCACATTAATGACCAATCCTGATTACAAGAAAATCTCTAACATCTGCTAATAACCAACAATAGACTAATGCATCTATGCATCCCTAGCAAACACTGCTAAATTGAAATGGTTGTCAAATAAGAAGACAATTGAAAATCAGGAAGACTTTGACCCCTTGTTACTCCCCCATAATGGAAAAGTTAATTTTCTATTGTGCAAACATTAACATTACATTGACCAATGCCAGAGTAATGACTTAAATGGACTGTAAATATCTGCAAACATTGATTTTGAAGCTTCTAATCCAAAACAAGAAAGGCAGAACAAAGAAGTGAGGACATGATAAGTAGCTGTTGACTGAGTATCTCTGACATGCAAGAAAAGCTTACCTCTCACCCACCATTAACCACTCAATCTTTTCCCATTAGTGCTGGAGTGCCTTTTGATTTTGATGAATTTATATAACATGCATCATGGCCTATTCTCTAGTGATGAATGCAGATATTGATTGTGCCTCTCCGATGACTGCCTCAACCAACTTCACGGCAATTAGAGCAATTAATATAGACATGGCTGATTCTTACAACACAGTTACTGTTGTTCACTGTTCAACATTGAAATGTGACAAAAACAGCTGCACATCCTGTTAAAAAATGAAAATTGGACTGAGATTTAATAGAGGTGCAATATGTGCTATTATAATAACATTTAGAGTTAGCACAATGTCATCATTTTTACACCAGTGAGGGTTCCTTGCTCAAACCGACTATTGCGGAAACACTGGTTGCATGTTAGATATGTTCTATTTAGCATATCGTCTATTTTCGTTGCACAGTAAAGGTTTTAAGGTGGTTCACCCATATTACTTTGAATGTAAGAAAGTGCAATGCACAATATGGTAGAATCATTCTTGTTTTAAAAAAAAATAAACAAGAATATTAACAGCACTGCTAGACGGATGTGTTTGACCACTGCACTGGTAGCAGAGAATCTCAATCATCCTTATCATCCTCGCAAAACTCTTCATAAAGGTGATTATAAATTCAATTATTTTATTTTTATTTATTTACAAAATATAAAATGATATTCTATTAGGCTATAAGAATTGATTCCCCCTTTTACCCGATATATAATATTTGCAATTTGTACTGAGTATAGTTTACACTGTATACTGTGGCAAATTGCTACATCTTGAAATCTGACAGCAAACTTACAACGGAGAAAACTTTATTTTATTATTTGGTAACACTCTAGAATACTGAATAAATACACAGGAACAAATGAGTAATACATTTTTAACAGTCTAGTAACTCTAGTAACTTACTTAATAATACTAATGCTTAGTTAAATGTGGTGCTTCACTGTTAGCAATTGGTATCTACATTTTTTTTTTTGTACCTCCCAGAGGACTGCTAAGACCTGCAGTTTCATAATTAATATGAATAATGTATAAGTGTAATAATTATAATGTGTAAAAGTGAAGGTCATTGTAACCCACTAATAACGACCCAAGTATTACCAAATCCTTCAGAAGGAATTACTAATGATTTGGATCCATATTCTAAAGTGAAAAAAAAACATCATTATAAGCTTGAGTTTTTTTGTAATGTTTTGGATAATAATACGGTGACCCAGTAGTGCACAACACAACACAATTTAAAAAAACAAAACAAACATAGGTTCGCAATGAAATTTAGCCACAACACACCGAAATGAATGAAATGATTTCTTCAAAGGTATAGCTGATTTCTTCAAAGGTATACATTTTTTTCCCCCCTCCATTTTTCAATCTACGACAGTAGGTGTCCTCAAAAAGTTTTTATCAGTGCCATGGACTGCTGTGTTGAATAGTACAGAATACTAATGTCTTTTTAGTGGTGTGTGTGTGGTCCCTCCAAATAACATTATTTAGAGGTGCTCAGTGGGTGATCTCAGCGAGAAATGTGACCTGAATTAAAGGCTTTCTCACCCTACTCGAATTACCCCAAGTGGATTTGATCCTTTTCCCTTTACACGAGCACATAGATCAGGCCGCGTACAAGACGAACTGCCATTGTCTCTCACATTTGTCAGCAGAAGGAGATCCGGGAAGTGCTCGGGCTAACTACAAGCCTAAGTGGCAGACAGTCAGAAAGTGACACTTCTAATACCATTGCTGATGACAATGACAGTATTTTTTCTCAGAGTCGAAAACTCATTTTGTACACGCCGCACCGCACAAATCTATCCTCATTTTGTCTGGGCCACCTGCCAGATTTAATGACAGCTGCTTATCAAGGCAGAAAATATATGCAGCTGTGCAGAACAAGGTTTCCCAGTAGTCAGTGGGAGTGTCACTATGTGATAAACCTTCGTCATATTCATAGAAGTCTTCATGTCTGTCTAAATGTAAGTAGGTTTGTTTACTGTAATAGTGTAAAGTGCAGCTTCCAAGTTAATTTCTTTATTGTAATGGATATTTTTTTAATAAAAACAAGGGTCTGAAATATTACAAGATAATACAATAATATAAGAGACTGTATAATTTCTATGAATTAGATTGTTTTTCTCAGTAGCTGTATTTCCATTACCTTTCAATTGTGAATTGAAAATACGCACAATGGAATTTTTTTTTTTTTTTTACGCTTGCACGAGGTGGTTTTTCAGGAAATGCGAAAAAGGAATATTACGCAAAACTACAATGGAAACAGTTTTTGCGCATTTACAGTCACCTGACTTAGAAGACACAGTGTGTTTCAATCAATGAGTTTCTCCTATTTCTTGGACTAAAATTTACTAAATATAAATTCTCGATGAAATGGGATAACCTTTTATATGTGTTACCTCAATATTACAGGTTTTTAAACTATGGTAACTTTGTAATATCATTTTAGCTGATGCCTTTGTCTTATCTAACATTATTGATAAACTAAATCCTATGAAAATCATCTGCTTAAATCTATAACAGATAGATATTCATACACAACTACGGTTGCAGAATAGGGCTGGGCAAAAAAAACGATTTTTCGATTAATCGTTTTTTAAAATGTGTTCGATTCAAAATCGATTCTCAACGGCCGGAATCGATTTTTTCCATATAAAGGGCTCGCGGACGCGGTGCTGCATCTTCTCGTCTCTCTCAAGCGCCAAGCGCTGCAGCTGTCGATACACACACGCGTTTAGGAGTCGGGGCATGACGGAATATTCACTTAACAATCGGGCCAGCATTGCATTGTAACCTATGATCGTAACTAACGTTTATCATTTTCACGTCTTTTTGAGTTTTACAAGCAATGTTAAACCATCCCGTGCTCGCGCACTCTCAGAGATGTCTTTCACTGCGTGCACAGTAACGTTACAGCCTAAATCTGCCTCACAAACAGCTCGCCAGAAACAAAAGTTTTATCTAGATTATATCACTTTAACAGTTAAAACACGCGACATTATGTCAAAACTCTGGTCGTGGTGAGTAACCTCGTAAAGACAGTCGGTAATGTCTTAAATTAGCATTAAATGTGTGTGACAGAAAGTTAATGAAACAGTAATGGATTCGCGCACTAGTTCTTAAAGTGAATGCAGCCATTTGTGTCAGTCATTAATTCTGTTGTCATAACAGAATATAGTATTAATTGTAAGCAATCAGAATTAATAGCCTTTGTATGAACTAAAAAGACTATCCAGTGTTAATTTACATTGGATTACTTTATTCAGTTTCTGTAGTATTTCTGACATACCCAAAATGTCCCTGTGAATCGATACCCAGCCCTATTGCAGAAGCACAGTCAACTAACTTTTGAGTGTTTACGAACTGGATTTGACTGTTGCAGCCCATAGAAACAGATGTTCATAGAATTTTTTGTAATTTTTAACCAAAATGTTAGGATTCAAAAATGACAGTCAAAACATCTGACTTTTCTGTAGTAACATATTCCCGACGTCTCCTATCATTTAGTCCAATAATTTAAACCCTGAGACTTTTTTTCCATCCAATCAACAACCAATTAATAAAACAAAGCCCCCATCATTACTTTTTACTTGTATGTACGTCACAATACAATAAAAACCATCAGTTGATACTCACATTTAATTGAAACTTTTAAATGTACATTAAAAATGTAAGTAAAATAAAATAAAACGTAAAATAGAACTATATAACATATATAACTATATAAATAAAAAAAAAATATGTACATCATGCAGAGTTATATATTTGTAAAATGTAAAACACAGAGATATACTCAAAACTCTGAGCACAGAGTTATATAATTTGGCTATAGGTTTAACCCTAGCTATCAATTAATCAATCAATCCTGTACTCATCAGGTAATTTCATGGAGTCTTAGGGAAAACTGGTTTTCCCCAACTGGTTATTTTATATTACCAGAACAGTAAGAAAAATTGAAAAAACAGGTATTTGTTCCTTTCTTCAAAAGGTTGTTCTATGGCATCAGGCTGTCAAATGTGTGTGTATGAGTGTGCTTATGTTGTGTAAGTAAGTGTGTGTGTGGGTGTCTAGATGTTGTCAATGTGTTATGGAACTGTCCTACACTAACTGAAACTGACTGTACATCCACAAAGGCCTTTGGAAACATCTACAACGTCCAACATTGTACCTTGCTGAAGATTGGACCTTGATGTCCCTAAGCCGGAACCTATCTGTCAGTCTAGGTCCAGTGGGAACCTCAGTGGGATACAAGGTCAGTAGAGCTGACAGGAGCTCCAAACAATGCATTTCTCTAGAAATCATCTGCCTACATGTGCTCTGCTCTGTCCATCCTCTTCCCTTGCCCAACAACAACTTCATGACAGCAACTTCCTGAAGTTTCTAGAGACCCTTTGCAAAAGTTTCTAGACTTTTCAGAAATGTACAAGAATGCATTGAGAGGAATGGTGATAGTCTAGCCCTGAACAGAGGAAATAATCCATTGTGAATGTATAATCACAGGAATTGAAGAATTCTAGGACTATTACAAGAGTGTATGTTATCATACATTCAAAAGATCAAAACCATTGCCTGTGAAAAAAAGCATCAGAAAATGAGATGCGCATAGTAAAAAGAAAGATAAATAATAAATATTATTTTTCTAAAATGGTTAGTAGCTGTATTTGCATTGATTTTGCAAGTCAAATTAAACCGCTTTTATTTATTTTTATTTATATGCAGCATTTTTTAGGTAAAAATCCTGAAACATTGAAATTACATTTCGATGATAAAAATATTAAGCCTGCTATTCTGCTTAAGAAAACAAATGGCTTGACATCTTAAACATCCCATTACAATCTGAACTGCTAAACATACTTAGTTAATTGCAACAGCAAAACATAAGGGAAGGACATGCTATCCATAATTCATTTTCTAAATCCACAGCAATTATTCTCCCCAAGCAACATGCAAATAAGAAACTGCCATTTTTGGCATTTGTGAATATGCAATAGGTCGACCCGCTGGTTTGTTTATTGGCTTCTTTAGCGAAAGCGAATAACTTGTGGGATTTGGTGGGGAGAAGTATCATGTTTATGACAGTACAGTTTTGTATAATCCCTAAAAGCACTGTTGCTGGGTGAATCCATTCGTTCTGCTAGCTGATTTAACCCGAAGTGAACGGACTCGTAAAATCTTGCACATGCTAGAGAACTCAGGATATGGCGTACTTTATTCTTAAAAACAGCATCCACTACCGTGCCAAGCTAATCTACCTCTGATTTACTCAATTTATGAGGTAATGAGAAGCATGGTGAAGCGATTTACTCCCTGCATTAAGTTAATCAATTGCCAAAAGGGAAATGTTTGTATGAAGCAGGCTACCGTGTGCTACATTTGACATGTAACAGATACAGTAATCAAACAGTTTGAATCATATTTTAAATCTCTCTAAAGTAAGGAATTCTATTTTCCAAAGTTGTCCATTAAGAAGGAATAGACCCCTTCATTTTATATTGTTTATCATAATCCTGCATGACAAATCAGTTTCCCATTCTTAATCTGAATGAATGTTCTCACTCCTATTTGGCCTCCTGACAATAGTGACAGGTTTCTGTGAGTCTGGATAAATAAAACCCTTACGCTGTAGCTATGCTATGGCCAAAGAGCACTTTCCCCAAGCCTAGCACTTCACCTGCTGAAAGGAGATATGCGTTCTTATGAGTGCAGTGCCACAGTTAAAGGGATTTGAGCTGCTTTCATTAATGCTCCATCACTGAGCAAGAGAAGCTTTTAGAGCCAGCTAGGGTTTATCTCTCTGATTGAATCATTCTTTGAATGTGGAAATACTCAACTAGGAGAAAAACCTGAGGTGCCATCTTTCTATGCTTCTCTCTCTTCGGCTTGCTTTACTTTGAGTTTGCTCTTCCTCTCGCTCACACACTATTAAAACCCAAGATTTTATCAGTCTGGCCTTCTCGCAACCATAGCAATAAAACAGACAATCCCTCCCTCTTGTCGGTTTAGTTTTCTACTCCAAGGTGCAAATATATCATAGTCAGTGAACTTTAAAGAACTCTGAATTAAACCCAAACATGGGTCCCATTTATCAAAGCAGTCCACAGTTCATTATTGACTTGTAGGCCCTTGCAGGCTTATTCAGGGTTTTCAGAAACAAATGAACCAAAAACCCTGTAGTCAATCATTTTTATCCATTAAAACTCATCTTTCATCACCAAAATGACATATTTAAAAAAAAATAAAAATAAATAATATATATTTTTCTTTATGCCTAAAATGGCTTGAATGTAATTTGCTTTACACCTTTTACACCTTTTCATTATATGGTATATGCGGATACATGAATATGCAAATTAGCCCTGCCTCCACTCCACTGACAGTAATTAAAATTAGCCTTTTGCTCTACTGGGTTATCAAACAGCTGATAATGTGTTGCTAATGTTAACACAGTCTCATCCCAAGAAGTCATATAACTTACGTCTTGGGACGTCTTTTGACCATACGTCAACATCCGCCTTTTTAGGGTACCCTTAAACGTCGGTTACATGACGATCCCGGGCCGTCATACAACTGACGCTTTACCTTTAACGTCGGTTAGGTTTAGGGGTAGGTTTAGGTCTGGGGTAGGGTTAGGATCCGATAATGTCATCTAACCAACGTTTAAGGGTACCCTAAAAAGGCGGATGTTGACGTATGGTCAAAAGACGTCCCAAGACGTCAGTTATGTTAAACAAACCATGTTGCTGTTAAACAACTCGGACAGCAATCTTCTACAAATCAGTATCCTTAAAAACACTTTAAAAACATAGAACATCAGTGGAGAAAGCCAAAGGCATATATATCATCATAGGATCGTAATATTTACATAATTCACCTGCTACATTGCTAAATGTACCCAATTTTTCATCTCAACAGAAAAAAAATACTGGGATAACCTGGCTTCTCTCGAGACTCCACTGCTTCACAGCATAGTTAATGATACTAAAGCCCGCACGCATGTCGACGTGATTTGTTACAAGGTAGTTTGTGAGGTAAGGAACAATGTCGATTTTTAAACTGCGTTTTTGAGACTGTCTTTGGTTCACTGCAGTTTTGAGAAAATAATCAGCAATGGACTCATGAAATTTCACTTGGTTTAAGCCTTTAAAAAAACACACAGAGACATAAACAACATTAAAAAATTGTTTTTACCTTCAAAGAAATATAACACCAGGACACATTTAAAGCCAAAATTCCATACTTCAATATAAAAATAGTGTTATTTATACTTATCTAATAATAATAATAATAATACATATGTGGCTTTTAGTGTCTTTTACTGTTTAAAAGTTTTGGGTCATTAAGATGAAAAAAAAAACGTTTTGAAGGAAATCTCTTATGCTCAGCAAGGCTGTATTTATTTGATCAAAAAGCAGTTATATTGTGCAATATTAATACAGCAATTTAAACAATTGTTTTATATTTTAAATCTGCAGTCCGCAGTTTTTCCTCTTTGTCGCCATCTGTCATCTGCAGTCAATTTACTTGAGTTGTACTTCAACACCCTCAACACGGCACAGCGTGGATGAACACAATGTTTGAGGAGAGTGTGCAGCTGTCAGTCGCCACGCCGGTGTGGATACTGGCATTCATAATCACTGATGTCATCTGAACTATAAGAAACATCCACTTTTGTTCTGGTTCTGACATTGCAGTAAATCACGCTGATACCATATCATATCATATCACGCAAAACAGTGCAAATTATACTTTGTTCTCAAATTTTTCATTTTAACAACGTCAGCATTGCGTGACTACATGTATTGTCCTTCCGATATGTATCCTTGTTTTCGCACGGGTCCGATTGCAGTCTCTTTTTTTTTCTGTAGCCACTCCCAAGTCTGAACGAAGTATTTTACATTTTACAGCGGGTGAATCTGTTGTCACTGGTGATTGTTGTTTGAACCTTTCTAGATCCACCATCAAATTGATAAGTTTAATTATATCAAGTCAAGTGCTGTTAGAAAAGGCTATAAATCTCCACCAGTACCACTGGAATTAAAAACATTATTACAAGCTTACCGCTTTGATTCGAGCTAAGGCAAGCAGATAGTTTTAAACACCGGCTGAAATGCATTTTCTCAAATATGTATTTTGGATCATTTTTAACCCCCCAAAAAGCCTGCCTCGCGGACTGGAGCTTTAAAATGTAATTTATTCCTGAAGGCAACACATATTCAGCAGCCTTCCAATCTTCTAGAAATCATTCTAATATGCTGATTTGCTGCTCAAGAAAGATTTTTTATTTTCAATGTTAAAAATGGTTATGCTGCTTAATAGACTGTGAAAAGCATGTTACATTTCATCAGGATTCTTTGATAAATAAAAAAGGTTAAAAATAACAGCATTTATTTACTGGAACTTTTTAACAATTTAATATAACCTTGCTGACTATTAATTTATATATATATATATATAAGCAGTTGTTCTTTAAATATACCCATCGATTGCTTGTCTGATACTGAATTTAATAACACTGACTTTTTAATATATTCAGTCTGTAGGGGTTGTTGTTAACATTTAGCAGATGCTTTTCATCCAAAGTGGCATACAGTACATTAATTGCAGAGACAATCCCCCAGGTGCAGCTTGGGGTTAAGTGCTTTGCCTATGGACACAATGGAAACAGAGCAGGACTGTTTTCTCATTAACTCTCCCATTTCCTTGGACACCTGGGATTGTACCTTCAGCCCTTGTGTTTGAAGCACAGATCCTTATCCATTACGCCACTGCCCATACTGTATTACCCTATGCATTATCAATGTAAGTGTAATTAAAAGATACTTTGCTGGAGCTGTGACACAGTAAACTTTTTAGTTCTGATGTTCTTTTCATAGTATATACTTGCAAAGTGCATCTGTTTACACTGCGGTGAACTCAGAAACCTTGAGAGAAAGAGTTGCTGAGGGATTATGACAGTATATCAATCATCTGTCAAGATTGAGATATAGCTTACCAATGATACCTGCCATTTTAAACCTGAGAAGTTCCACACTTTGATGTAATGTGAAGACACGAAGTGAGTGTGAAAAGGTGTTGTAACCCCAGAGATTATACAGATTTTAACACTTCCATGTCCATCAGGTTAACTTACCTGACTCCATAAAGTCATTGTTGAGGTTGACCCAGGACTCTTTGCTTTTTCGCAGACTATCCTCCATAGCTTTGATGTCTGCAAAGGGGCAGTTACAATCAGGGAACTTTGCGGAGCAGCGG